GTAATGTTGTGTTACTGAACATATTGAATTTTCCTCAAAACATCCCTAATCCAACGTCAGTTAAAATAACTTATTACAAAGAAAGAACATGCGTACCCACCTCTTTGTAAATAAAATCGGCACGCCTTTCCTTTGTCAATGTAACCTTGGCATTAGCTCTTTCATTGAAATATGCTGTTGGATGAAGTCACTCTTGATTGGTAGCACTTTGTATTGCGGGTCAAATTTTATCACTGCCTTCCGTTTCTTTTTACTAGTGATTTAAATAACTTCAAAGATTAAATGCTTCAAAGATGCTATTTGAAGAGCTTCTCAAACAACATTCACAGATATCAAACCTTTTTTCTTTACTTGTCATCCATTCGTTCAATTCTTCCTGGTGGCACATTTCACCATCTAGGTTTGTAATGACACAAATTCTATTAAAGTCTTAAACAAATATAACACGGAAAACATGGTTAATTTCAGGTGCAGTGCAAAGAAGGGGTTGTTTAATAACTTTACATAAATATGAATATTGAAATTTAAAAAATGTGAAAATTCACAGTGAGTAAACTATAATTCTATGTTCTTAGTACTGTTAAATTTGTAACGAAATGTTTAAATAAGATAACTCTCCACGACAGCATCAGTTATGTTGTTAGTAAAATGGAGATTTTGTAGAATAACCCCTTTGGTACTTATTATGTCCAAACGAAGATAGATACTAACATGGTTTATTCTTTTCAGATTAGAAAGACACGATTTGCCTCCCATTTTATGAACTGAATTGTTATTGTTTTCAGGCACGTCAACTGAAATGGTTATTAGTCCCGTTAATGTAGTTAATGTTTTATCCGGGGAGGTGGAGACGTTTCTCCCCGTCTGGGTGGTGAGATCCGATGCTGACCGTGCCAGGAGGTTGGAGAACGAGATGGGCAGCACACGAGGACGTCTAGGATAGCACTCGAAGGACACTTAACGACCCGGCGGTTGCGAATGGGATGTCAGCACCGGTTGTTTAGTTGACTATTGTAGAGACACCTAGACTTTGACTAGCAATTCAGGACTCTCTGATTCAACGCGCGCCGATTCCTGGGTTTCTCGGCTTCAGTTGCGTTGTCAGTGCCAAAGGTGGTGCTAAGCACCTGGTTGCTCGGCTTACCATGGGCGACCCACCCCTACCGCCGACCGAGGGCAGATTATGGATAGGTTTACAGCTGCAAGCCTCGAAGTTCAACAAATGGAATCCCCAGAGGAATGGGATCAAAGTTGCCTCGATCGATTGCTTCGATCGATTGCTTCGATCGATTGCTTCGATCGATTGCTTCGATCGATTGCTTCGATCGATTGCTCCATCGATTGCTTCGATCGATTGCTTCGTCGATTGCTTCCATCGATTGCTTCCATCGATTGCTTCCATCGATTGGGCTTCCATCGATTGCTTCCATCGATTGCTTCCATCGATTGCTTCCATCGATTGCTTCCATCGATTGCTTCCATCGATTGCTTCCATCGATTGCTTCCATCGATTGCTTCCATCGATTGCTTCCATCGATTGCTTTCCCATCCCGATTTGCTTCCATCGATTGCTTCCATCGATTGCTTCCATCGATTGCTTCCATTCGATTGCTTCCATCGATTGCTTCCATCGATGCTTCCATCGATTGCTTCGATCGATTGCTTCGATCGATTGCTTCGATCGATTGCTTCGATCGATTGCTTCGATCGATTGCTTCGATCGATTGCTTCGATCGATTGCTTCGACTTCCCGCAGTACTCACGTTGTTAGTACTGCATCCGCTATGAAGAAAGGGATTGGGACTCCGAGATGCCTGGGTCGAGGTCCCGGCTGCAGTGGGGTTCGGCCTGGCAGTGCCCTATACTCATGTCTATTGAGTAATGCTTTCCTCCAATGCCTCATGAGTGACGGTTATACAATGCGAGAGCTGACTGACTGGGCCCACCTGGACTTTATAAGGGAAGTGTTCCACTGAACCACTGCCAGCCCGAAGAGTGTTAGTATCACGAGATGGGAGTGTGGTTTAGAGCCCAAATGGCCAAGTTGCCCTCTTTGAGGCAAGTCAAATAACTCCTAGAGAGAAACTAAAGAAGTCTTGGCGTCTTGGCAAAGCCCTTGAGCGACAATATTTCACATTCCATTGATTGAAGGGCAGCCCACAAAACACGTTTCAGCATCACAAAAAAAAAATCAAACTCAGACTACGAAACCCATTTTATTAAAGAATATCTGCTCCACCAGAACCAATCGCAATAGTGGATGGGTGCTGACTTTAATTTTCTTGTATTTAATCATTCGGAATGTCCCATCATGAACACAAGACAATGCAAACATCGACCTCTACTGAGCAACAGCGTCAACAAATTCTTTGTGGCGCAACGCAACAAGGAATATTATCGCCGTTCCAGGGTCAGCCGGATTGGCCCCTGCGGTCGCAGGATGAGCTCTCCGAACAACTTGACATCAGAGGGGCGATCCAGCGCTCGCAATCGGAACGAACGATTGGCCGACCAGCACCGTCTTCTCCTCCTGCAGCGCAAACTTCTGACCTGCAGCACAAACCCACGATCACCATTACACACCCACACAAGCTTATAGCCCATTCTTTCACAAGAGGATTCGTCAGGCCGACAGCACCGTCTTCTCCTCCTGCAGCGCGAACTTCTGCCCTGCAGCACTAACCCCACGATCACCATTACAATCTTACACAAGCTATTCACTTACAACCCATTCTTTCACAAGAGGATCATTAGGCCGACAGCACCGCCTTCTCTTCGTGTCTCGGGAACTTCTTCCCTGCAGCACAAACACCACACACGATCTGTCTTACAACTCCCTGTAGACGAGAATATAGTTTATTTTTCGCTGAATGAACCTCTATTTTACGATAGAAACATCATTTTTTTCAAATCTAAATTGTACCGCTCTCTTACAAACCATACATTAATATTTGCATTGAGTTTAACACCAGCATCTCTTTGTGCGCACGAACCTCTGGTCTCAATCCTGATGCTATAAAATATGCTATACGATGCTTGCATTCAAATGAGTCTGTACTCGTACTTCAATTGAGTTTTTCGAAAACTCAAAAAGTTTCTGCGAGCTTTAAGCTTTTGAATTAAAAGAGCTTTAAATTTCGAATTAACAGTAGCGCTTAAACGCCATTTTCTGGAAAACGGCTTCCAGTTTTTCAAAATTGTAATATAGGACAAAGTTTTACTGCTTATTAATATTCATAAAAAAATTGACGTTCTATATTTAAGAAACCGAATTAGGAAAATTTAAAAAAAAATGTATTTTGAGCGGCGAAAGATGGCAGTACGAGTAGTATGTAGCAAGATGTTATAGCCAGCCGAGACTAAAGAATAGAAAGAAGAGAAACAGAAAACTAATACGGGAAAGTCTGTGCCATTCTGTAGCACCACTAGTTTACATTCATTTATCACACAGTCGGTACCGTGCCTTCTCTTTAGGCAGATGTGGCGTTGGACAGAGTCAGCAGCACAGAAACAACGTTTTGTTAAGAATCACGCTCAGAATAGGAATCATATTCACAATAGGAATAATTCTCAGTATAGTTTGTGACGAAATGATACGTTTAACAGATGTTTTATCCACTCTCTGGCCACCGGCAACCTCATCTTCCCCAGCAATATGGATATTTGGTTTACGATCGCCATCTTGCTGTTTAGCAAACCCCTTCATCCTGCGCACTCCCTGTATACATTACTGTACTGTTGAGGGAAGCAGGAACTACGTGATATATTCGAAAATTCGACCATGCGATATTAAAGTCGTATTAGCTGAATCCCTTTGATAACTCCGTACAAAACAGCAGAAAAGTTACAACCGAAATGTAACTGTGCGGAAAATCGAAAACCGGGTTTCCGAAAATGTAATTGAAATAAATTCTAACATGGATCTGTGTGTGTGCTGTAGTGGAATAATTTAGGCAGAGGCGGATCCAGACGATCATTTGGGAGGGGGGCATTTTTGTTAAATAACATTATTATATTGTATTTTATTTTTGTAGTGTATGTATAATACTTCACAATATTCTTTTTTAAACAACTACATAATTATAACGTAAATATTTAAATATTTTTTTTCAAATAAAAGACAGCATAAACGAAAACTCAGGGCCTTTTTTTTTGGGGGGGGGGACTGATTACCCCTAAATCCGTCACTGATTCTCGGATATCGTGCTATCCACGGTTAAGTAAATCGTAATGCAACACTTAAAATATTGTAATAATCAATTTAAAGTTTCTGTGAAGAGACATGTGTCAAGACGATTGGTAGGCATTTCATTTATGTACATGCACTCGCTAACCTTTGAATTTAAAGACATTCAGTCTTGGAACTTGAAACTCTTGCTATCTTCGCTTCGCCAAATATGCAGTCATGATGCAAGGATACCCTTGCATTGTATTGTATTGTATTTGGTCTTAAAATGACGTAATGAGCAAATAAGTGGACATACGCGTTATTTCTGTGAATTTTAACATATTATTGAACTTCAGTGCTTTAACTATAAAACTAGTCAATGAGAACAAGTGATAATACACCTAGAGCGTACCACGTTTCATTTACAGAAAAAAACGGGAAACAGACTTTCGACTAAAGTAAATTCTTGCAACTTGATCCGTTTCTGTAGGAGAGCTAGTGACAAAATCTACGAACAGAATTTTAAACAAATTTTAAAAGAAGGTTACACAATTTGCTGTGTACTTTTTGCATTAGTTCGGTCATAAATTTAGGAATTTTCCTTCGATTAATTTTTTTTGCTCTTTCTTATATTGTGTAGTATTAATTGGTACCACGGTAATGCAATAATAATTGTACAATGGATTTCAAATATAAGTTCGGTGCAGCCTAGTACAGCCTAGTAAATACTGACTCCGGCCGCGGAAGCCTACGATCTCACTCGAAGTATAACAAGTTCATATTTGCTTGTTGCCTCACCAATGCAGTTCCTGGAGCCAGCGCTGAAGGGCACGTAGGCGTATGGGTGGCGGCCCTGCACTTTCTCTGGCAGGAAGTTGTCTGGGTTGAACTCGTCGGGGTTGGGGAAGTACTTCGGGTTGCGGTGTGCGTTGTAGATGTGGAGAGTGACTTGACAGCCTGCTGGGAAGGTGTATTCTCCTGTAAAAGATGCCAAAGTCAAATTTTAGTCTGCGAATTAATATTTAATTTCCTATCAACCTCTTCCTACTTTATACGAAACATAATAGTTTATTTGAAATTTTAAAATAAAAATGTATTTTGAAATATGTTTTTAATTAAAAACAGCGCAGATATTGTTAAATATAATCAGCGAATTATTTTATTTTTTACTTACGAAGAACGATCAAAGCCTTTGTAACAAACTATTTCCACAATTTAATGTAATATTTGGGTTCTGTGTTAACTCTTTACTTACCAACTTGTATGTCTTCAACTAATGAACGCATAAAGAAGGGAACACTAGGATATAGACGTAGTGACTCCTTTATAACTCGTTCTAGATACTTCATTTCAGTTAGATCTTGCATCGTAGGCACACGATCAGAATTTTGGAAAATTGCGGCCTGTTCCTCGAATACACGTTCCTGAAAAAACATGAAATAGAAAAATCAGACAGTTACAAAACTATATGGATTTCAGCTCCGGATTCGATGGGAACGACTCACTCTCGTCCCAAATCGTGACTTGAAGAACCACTCTGGTTAATCGGAGTAAAGATGTGGGGCCTTAGACTATACACCACTGTTTTCTTGTCTGGGGGAATGACTAAGGTGTTGACGCGCCCGGAAACATTCATCAATTAATATACAACTGTTCTGAATGAAAATTGACTTACCTGCACCTCAGGATGGTTTCCCAGAAGAAACAAAGTCCAAACTAAACTCGCGGATGTCGTGTCGTGACCCTGAGACCAAAAAGAAAGTTGATTAAATATTTATATTAATATAGAAATATCAACATTCATACTGCATGTGCTTTGTTATATTGTCAACACCAATCAAATAGAAGGATGTGATGAAGGCACTGCTTGCGTGATAATTCTCGAGGCCAGTTTTCAAATTTCTGCATGCAATCGATGTCATTAAAATGGAAAACACTATAAAATTAAAAGGATGTATTATAATCATTTGATAACTGTAGAACGATTTTAAGTGTCGCTTTGGACTAGATTGTTAATAGTTTTGCGAATATTTCTTACGACAATAACAAATGTAACAAATGACATTTTTAAACTAAAGTTAACGAAGTATAAATTTTCCCTCTTTGAACATCCCAGAGACTTTACTGGATTTGACGTTTGACAAATATGTAACTATTCGTTTCTATTCGGTAACTAACTGAAAGATTCTAGTAAAAGAAGTGCAAGAAACTCAAAATTGCATTTTCGAAAATTTGCAAAATATACACCAAACTACTCATTTTTTTCAAATGTTCGTGATATTTTTTAAGAACTACTTATTTTTAGAACAGATTCAATTAACAACAAATAACTACAATCAATATTGTACTTTTGAACCATTCATTTTTGTTGTTTGCAATTTAAAAAAATACATATTTCGCAGAAAATTGAACCAGCACTACTTTCTTAAACGTTCTTTGACACACGAGGAAACTAACGATGCTGCAGCATTTTCTTTGATACTTTCGCGCATTATTTCTAAATTTTCAATTTTTGAAAATTTAGAGAGTTCAACGAAAATGAGACCTACGCTATTCTTTTAAACATCCCTTCTTCTATGTGTGAAAAACATTTAAACTATTTGGAAAGATGTTTGAGTTAAAAAAGTTATAAAAAAGTTTAGGTTGCTAATATTTCGTGCCAAATTACACGAAAACAATTCATATTTTCGAACATTGAACATGAACTTATTTGAAGGTCCATCTTTAAGGGACATATTTCATTAAGTAAAAAATATCCATCTAAAATATTATAGCTTTAAGAAAATATCTAAAAGAATTACACTACCCTAGTTTTAAAAAAAATCTGGGATTTCAACAAACACGAGACTAGCGTCATTCTCTTCAGCGTCCTTCATGTTACGCAAGAACAAAGTGTGCTCAAAAAAATTGGTGCCATTTTTTATATAATTTTGAAAGAGTTTTCGAGGCATCATGTAAAGTACCGTCAAAAAACAAAATAACCATTTCAATCTCCCAAAGTCTCGAGTCCATTCAGAACAATCGAGGAATGTCAATTTTAAAGAAAATCGGTTGGACGGTTCAGACGGTAGCAATGATCACAGACCGTCAAACGGACGTTTTGCCGTCAATCGATTTTTCGGTATCAAGAATTCACAAAACGTGGATTCACAAAATGTTTGGCGCTCGGCTACAAGGGTTTTTCTCCCGAAAATTCGCAGTTGTCCGGCGCACGGTTTTATAACTTTCTTCTTACGAAGTACCTTTGTAATGGCGAGAAAGTAAAAATGCGAAGAAATAATTGGAGTCATTTTTGAAAAAATAATTGTTAAAATTCATTTCAACTTATTGCCTGTTTTACAAAAAACTACTCATTGTCGAAATATAGAACATGACATTATTTCAAATCTTTTTTTAATGAACAGATTTCATTAAAAAACCGTTCTATCTTCAGTATTGGGAAGTTTTGAGGGAAAATATAACGCCGACAAAATGTAAACTTTGTAATTTTACAAAATTCACTGAGTTCAACAAAAATGCGACCAGCATCACTTTCTTTACCATTTTTTCTTAAACGCGAGGAAAAATTTGGGAATAAAAATTGAAAAACGTTTGCTATTTTCGAAAAGTTACAGATTTCAACAAAAAAGTGACTCTCGCGTTTTTTTAAAATGCTTTTTACAAGTTTCATAAAAGAATTTGGTTTTATTTTTCAGAGAAGTCAATCTTTTTGACGCTTCATGTAACGAAACCAAAACCAAAATATCCATTTCAAACTCACAGGGTCTCGATTTCGGTCATATTGATTAGGGAATTTCGATTTTGGTCAAAATCCTGCTTACGGTTTAGCGGCTAGCGTTGTTCACAGACAGATGGACAGACGTTTTGCTTTCAATTTATATTTCGCTGTTGAGGATACACTACAAACAGATTATGACTACACAACGTGTTAAGAGTCAGTAATTCACAACATATAAGAAGATGATTTATGAACTTTCTGATTAGCAGGGCCCGGCAATAACCGTTTCTCTGTGGAAAATTCGCCGCTTTCCCGCAGTTATACAACACTTTCTGTAGAGTGCGTAAGCAGTAAGGCCGAAAAAAGAAGAAAAATAAAGAACGACCACTTCATAATCTGAAGGTTTCGGAATGAGATCAACTAACAAACAGAATACAATATTACGACTTGCAGTTTGACTAAGAATGAAGGGATTACCTGCACCTAATACACTTCCTTTAACTCAAGTATTTCAGAAAGCATCCCAGTCAAAGTGATTTTTTAATACGAATTCTAAAAAGGTCACATGTTGTAAAAAGGTCACTTCGAACATGCAAGTGTCGACCTCCTCGCAGATCTCGTCGAGAAGCACAGAGCTTCCTTGAGAAGATAAGGGGATTGCAGCTGTCATGGGAATCCCAGTAGATGTATTTTGAGAAACGGCTCACTTCGAACATGGTGTGCACCTCCTCGCAAATCTCATCGTCGGCACACCTTTACTTTGCCAGGATAAGGGAATTGCATCTGTCATGGGAATCCTAGTTGATGTATTTTGATAAGCGGCTCACCTCGAACAAGAAAGTGTCGACCTCCTCGCGGATCTCCGCGTCGGTGAGCACAGCCCCC